GGAGGGGAATGGTTTTTTTCTTCAATTTTCTGTTTACAGATCATTGGCGACTAGAACTGAAACCTATTTTTCTGTTGCATCCTATGCTTGGATTTGGATCCAGGTCCCTCAAGTGAAAGACTCCTGCAGTAACCTAGTATTCCAGTGAGGCTGCCTTAACCTGCTTTAACCCCTTAGCTCTGAGAAGCAGAAAGGCACAACATATTGAACTGTTATTTTCATTTGCATTCAGCCAGATGGACCCCAGAGGATTATGGGACCCAACTACTGAGACAATACCAAGAAAACTTTGCAGAGCTCTTCATGGACACGCAGATGCTGCTGCGAGGGATCTCAGCTGCACAGAACTTAGCTCTTGCAGAACGAGAGGTGAGATGATTGTCTGTCTTTTTTACTAGAACATGAAGTCTGGAATCTGGATGTGGAAGGCTAGTGAGGACATCATTATTTCATTCTTCATTGCAACAGAGTGGTGGTTTTTTTACAGTAGAAGAAATTGGGTTAATTTCTCTTTAGCAACAGAAGGGTTTGTGGAGCTGAAAGTTTGGATGACCAGTTTCTCTTGGTGTTGGCATGGCTCATGTCACATTTGTGCACTGGTAAGCATGCAATCTGGGTGCTTGTGTTCACTTGACTCATATTCCTGGTATAGGTCTCAGCAGGGCAACAGAAACATGAGAACGCAGATCTCCAGCAGGCAAATGGGTAGTTGGCTAGTGTGTGGCAGATGCAAAGAAGTCCCCTTAGTGTCTTGGTGCCTGTCTCTTAAAGGTCATGGAACAGCTTGTGAAGAGGGAGACCGGCCCAAGTGGTTTCCACTCACTGGTGTCTGCAGCGCTGGAAGAACAGACTCTGTCAGTGGCTGCTGTGTGGCAGGTGCTGCTGGCAGCACGAGAGGCAGCACTTCCACTTCACCTGCTCATTGAGGAAATCCGCAAAGACCCCGATGCTGACTTTTTCTTCCAAACAGGTAGTGATATCATACTGGGCTTCCCTTTAGATCCCACCAGGTCCAGAGGGGCCTTTCTCACTGTTCCCACTCGATCCTTCTCCCCATCCCCGCAAACATCAGAACTAGATTATCTGAAGATCCTGCTGCATCCTCCTTCCCTTGGTCCTCACAGATCTCGCTCCATCTGCTTCCGTTCTCGGTTTTATGGTGCTTTCCTCTCAGATTCCACCAAATCCTCCCATTTCCAGCGCTCTCCCACTGCTGTGGATGTGGACACACCTTCAGAGGCACATTGACTCTCACCCCTAATCCTGCAAAGTGGAGACTAAATGGTCCAGAGCTCAGACAGACATCTAGCAGTTTGGTTAGTTGTTTGAATCCCTCGCATCACCCCCAGCTTGGCTGGAAGAATGATGAAAGCCATCTTTTTTGTATGACTTCCTCTATAGCTGGGGCCAGGAACACCAGAACAACTTTCCCTGTGGTGTTATGCACTGCTAGGATTGTGCATTGTTCATTATAATGAGAAATAAAGAAGCCCCATAGGACTGGAGAACTGATATTTACTGAACACTTTCTAACAATGCAGCATTTGTCTCTAGAAATTAGCAAAGCTTCGGAGGTCTGGGAAGGGTATTCGTCTTTCTGTGGCTTAGCTCCCCTCCCTGTTGTCCTGTCAGGTGACAGAATGCACATATCTCACATCCCTACAGCTAGTTAGCACTTCCAGTAAAAAAGAATTCAAGAAGTACCATCTCTCTGATAGACCCAAGGCCACAACAGACACACTGCCTGACCCCCCAACACACACAACTTACGCCTGCCCGTGTTTCTTTGCCATTTTCCTACTTTAAAATGCTTTTCTTTCCCCAATTCTCACCAAATTAGAACATAGCTCAGCTGGCTGACTCTCAGTGCTGGGAGAGCGTGAAACTGACTGTATACACACTTCCATCAAATGCATCAAGTCAGCGCACTTGGAAAAACTAGAGAAAATGCATTTATCCTGTGATCTCTTCCACTGACAATGATCTTAGGCACTGCTGGTTACAAAAGCGGGTAGGATACACTCAGAGAAGTGTGATGATTGTTTAAGTTCACTATGTTCCTTTAAGAAATTCCTTCAAAAGACCCAACTCATCTCACCTTGCCCTGCAGAGTAGACAAGCATTGAAAATAGGGATGTAAAAGACTAGTCGACTTACCAGATAGTCTTGACTAGTCGACTCTCCACCCCCTTTGCTGCCTCTATAACATAGAGGCAGCAAAGGGGGAGGGGGGTACTTCAAAGTGGCAGCGCTACACAGCTGATCCACGGATCAGCTCTGCGACAGCTGCCCCTTTAAAATGCCGCTTCTGTGCCTTTCCAAGGGGCAGCAGTGGAGCCCGGGGGCCAGATGGGGACTTCACAGCTGATCCCAGGCTCCCCACGGCATTTCCCTGGAACCCAGGATCAGCTGGGGAGTCCCCAGGTGACTCTGGGCTCCACAGCTGCCCCTTTGAATCGTGCGGAGGCAGCAGTTTTAAAGGGGAAGCTGCTACACAGTTGATCTCAGCTGTGTGGCGGCTTCCCCTTTGAAACTGCTGCCTCCATACCTTTCAAAGGCGCAGTGGAGTCTGGGGTCAGCTGGGAACTCCCTGGCTGACCCTGGGCTCTGCGTGGCACTTCCCCGGATCCCAGGGTCAGCTGGGGAGTCCCCATCTGATCTCAGGTTCTGTGCGGAACTGCCAGGGTCAGCTGGGACTCCCCAGCTGATCCCTGGCTCAGTGTGGCACTTCCCCGGAACCCAGGGTCAGCTGAGGAGTCTCCTGATGATCCTGGGTTCAGGGAAGTGCTGTGGGGAACCCGGGGTCAGCTGGGGAGTCCCCAGATGACCCTGGGCTCCTAGCAGCATGCAGAGTAGCATGGAACCCGGGGTCAGCAGGGGACTCACAGCTGGGGACTCTTGTGCATTTCAAAGCAGGCACACTGCGTGCAGCCTGGAGTCAGCGGGACGTGCTGCTGGCCCGGTTTGCATGCGGTGTTCCACATTCCTCCTTTCAAAGGAAATTCCATCGACTAGCCAATTAACCACATTTAACATCCTTAATTGAAAACTGTCACTCCTGCTTTATCTCCAGTTGTTGCTGGATGGTGCTTTTGCAGCCACAACTAATGGCACCAAAGCCTGCACCTTTGTCCTTTGTCCTCCTCCAACTCCTAAAGGGAACCATTCCCACCTGGCAGGGAGGGTCTGAAATGGCGTAGACCTACAGAACCACCCCATTCTTTTTATCTTCTTTCCTTCAGTGGCCACAAGTGAAAGTACAGCCATTGAAATAATACTGCGGCACAGCAAGCTGATCTCAGAGGCCATCAAGCAGAGCGCTGGACTGGAGGGCTTGGCTCCAGGAGAAGTGGGCCTCACAGAGGCAGTGAAAGAGGTACTGACAGGGTAGTAAGGCGGCTCACAGCTGTCCTCTGCTTTACTGTGATGTGTGTTCCATGATGTTCCATCCTGATCCAAGTTGACCCCGCTGAGATGAGTGGAGCCAGGGCATGCTGTTCTCAGAGCTGCCCTTCTCTTAGAATGAGGGGTGCCAAACATTTTATGCAAGGGATGCATGCAGCATAGGGCCTCATTTGAGCAAAATGTGACCGTTCGCCATAAAGTGCCTGTTCTGCTCTGCAAAGTGGCAGAGATGCCTCATGGAAAGCACAGCTGGCAGCTAGCATGGTGTGGGTTGTGCTGTGGGTCAGCAGCCTCCAGACTCCTGTGACACAAGTGAAGTGTTCCTACGGGGCATGCTGAGAATGCAGCTCCGTTCTGGCTGAGACTGATGTGGAGGAGTTTAGCTGCCCTGTCATGCTGGCAAGCTCACCTTGGCGTTCACCTCTAGGAGAGAGAATAGGCCACATCCAGCCTGTAGATAAAACTGAACAAGGCAGAAGCATTTGCTGGGCTCCTTCATGGCTGGCTGGCGAAGTTCATTCACAGGGCAGCCTGCAGCTGATCAGCTCCTGCTCTTGCCAATTGCTGTTGTAACCTCTGGGGATTTGGCGTTATTTAGACTGACTGTAAATATTTGTCAAAATGGAAAGTTCTCTCAAGCTGCAGATGACCTAATAACATCTTCAGCTCTCTGCATGCTGTTACTTATGCCGTGCATACTTCGTGTTCCTATGGCCAAGATGAGCTACAGTGGATATGGTACCATAGCAGCAGGGTTAAAGGGGAAGAAATGCCCAAAGGTCTGTGGAATGATTTGGCTTTAATGTCCTGTAAATTATAGCACATCGGGGCTATCCCCCAGTGAAAGACCGGAGTTCCCAGTTAGCTGACAAAGTCATTATCCTCAAGAAAAGTGAGCTATCGCAGATTGTACTAGTCCCTGATTCCTTGCAGTGGCAGCAGTGCTAGTTTGGCTTAGTCCAAAAGTAGCAGTCAAGCACTTGAACTGCTGTAACCTTTTCTTTTTTAAATCCCCTGAAGCCCTTTCAGCTGGTGCAGTTAGAAACTAAGTAAAACACAGTATTTGCCAAAGGAAAGTCAGCATTGAGGAGGGTTTGGAACACACTGATAAATTAAACAGTATTAAGGCACCCAGACCAAATGATGTTCAGCCAAATGTTCTGAAGGAGCTCAAATACAAAATCGCAAAACTACTGAATGTGGTATATCACCTGCCTTTGAAATCAGCCTCTGTTCCAGATGCTTGAAGGGTGGCTCATGTAACATCTATTTTTAAAAAAGGCTCCGGAGACAATCCTGGGTGTGACAGGCCAGGGAGCCTAACTTCATACCAGACAAATTGGCTGAAACTGTAGTAAAGAACAGAATGATCAGACACATAGATGAACACAATATGCGTGGAAGAGGCAACATGGCATTTGTAAAGGAAAATCATGTCTCACCAGCCTATTAAGGATGTCAACATGTAGATGACTACACGATTAACCGATGAGCCTGGGCTAATCCTGTCCAATACACACATTTTCTCCCCCTTGCTGCCTCTGTATCAGAGGCAGCAAGGGGAGGGGGAAATGGGAGATGGGCCTCCCTCATCCTACCAGAGGCAGCAGCGTGGAGGGAGAGGGAAGCAGGCGGGAGCAGATACACGCAGGAAGCCGGCTTTTAAGCTGGCTGTCCACGTGTGCTGGCTCCACAGACCCACCTTCCCTCCACCCCACTGCTTCCCACAGAGGCAGCAGGGGGGACAGGCAGGAGCCGGTGCTGGGGGGCGCTGGCTTAAAAGCACTGACTCCTTGGAAGTCTCTGTCCACGGGGAGCTCAGATCCCCCACACTGACATGCCACTCCTGAGCTGCTGCCATTGTATCAGAAGCAGCAGTGCAGGGTCGCAGTCGAGAACTGAACTGTACAAGGAGCTGGTTTTTAAACTGGCTTCCCTTCTGGACCAGCTCCCGCCTGGCACCCCATGCTGCTGCCTCTGATAGAGGCAGCAGTGTGAGATGGCAGGGGTTCCCCAGGAGTGGGGCCAGGAGCACACCGGCTGCTGGCCCCGCCCCCAGGGACTATTGAATAGTCATGTAATCTCTAAATCTGATGTGATTAGACGACTATTCAGTTACACACTATCGAACAACCCTACATCCAATTAGAGTTCTTTGAAGGAATCAGCAAGCATGGGGATACAGTTGATATAGAATACTTGGATTTTCAGAAAGGCACTGACAAGGATCCTCAGCAAAGGCTCTTGAGCAAAGTAAGCAATTGGAATAAGAGGGCATGTCCTTGCCTCGGTCATTAAATGGTTAAAAACTAGAAAAGCAAGAGTAGAAATAAATGGTCAGTTTTCACAAAGAAGAGAGGTAAATAGTGAGGCCCTCCAAGGATCTGTACTGAGGAGTGCTATTCAGCATATTCATAAATGAGCTAGTCAATTTGCAGATGATACTAAGCTACTGAAGATTAAGTCCAAAGATGACTGCGAACAGTTACAAAGGGATTCAGTTGACTGGGTGACAAAACGGCAGATGAAATTCAGTGTTAGTAAGTGCAAAGTAGTGCACATCGGAAAAAATAATCCGGTCTATGTAAAGAAAATGATGGGATCTAAATGAGCTGTTACTGCTCAAAAAAAAAAGTGGTATTGGAGTCATTGTGAAAAGTTCTCTGAAAACATCTGCTCGATATGCAGCAGCAGTCAAAAAACCTAACACTACTAGGAACCATTGGGAAAGGGATTGATGATAAAACAGAGGCCATCATAATGACACTATGTGACTCCATGGTATGTACACACCTTGAATATAGTGTGGAGTTTCTGTTGTCTCAAAAAAAAATCTTAGAATTAAAATAGGTACAAAGAAGAGTAAAAAATGGTTAGGGATATGGAACAGCATCCATATGAGGAAAGATTAAAAAGGCTGGGACTGTTCATTTTAGAAGAGAAACATCTAAGGGATATTATAGAGGTCTATAAAATCACAAATGGTTTGGAGAAAGTGGTTCACATAATACAACTTAATTAACAAAATTAATAGGCAATAAGTTTAAAACAAACAAGAGAAGGTACTTCATAGAATTTGCTATCACCCTGTAGAACTTGTTGCCAGGGAATGTTATGAAGGCCAAAAGTATAACGGGATTAAAAAAATAATTAGAGCTGTTCATGGATAAGTCCATTGATGGCTATTAGTCAAGATTGTCAGGGATACAACCCCATTCTCTGGCATCCCTGTCCTTCCAGTTGCCCGACGCTGGAACTGGGGTTGTGTCTAGACTACACCTCTCTGTCAACAGAGAGAGGTAGATTGGGCACGTTGAAATTTCTAATGAGGCAGGAATTTTTTGAGGAATACAAGATCTTTCAAAAAAGGGTTTATTTTCAACAGGTCCCCATCTAGACTGCCATTTTTTTGCTTCGTTTCAGAAAAAAGTGGCAGCCATGTTTATGCTAATGAAGCGCGGGATATTTAAATCCCTGCCTCATTAGCAATTTCGACGTGCCTAATCTACATCTCTCTGTCGACAGAGAGGTATAGTCTAGACACAGCCAAAATGAGGTTTACAGGATCTTTCGAAAAAGGGTTTATTTTCAAAAGATCCACGTCAAGACTGCCGGGGTTTTTTTTTTTCGGAATAGCTCCATTTTGGAAAAAAGCAGCAGCCATGTTTATGCTAAGGAAGCACGGGATATTTAAATCCCTGCCTCATTAGCAATTTCGACGTGCCTAATCTGCATCTCTCTGTTGACAGAGAGGTGTAGTCTAGACATACCCTGGGTGACCACAGAGATCACTCACAATTGGTCTGATTTGTTCATTGCCCCCAAAGCGTCTGGTGCTGGCTGCTGTCAGAAATGAGTTATGTGGCTAAGCGGGCCATAGGTCTGACCGAGTGTGGCTGTTATAGTCTGAGCTCTGTGGCAAAAGGCCTGTTCTTCTGTTTCTCCGAAAGGGGTCCAAACCAAACTAAAGCAAGTACAGGAATGAAAAAAAATCATTATCTGCCATGTGACTTCTTCTCTCCTGTGTTTCTGTAGCTGCTCAGTATTTCCTCTCAGAAGGAGAGTTCAGAGGCCTCCTTGAAAGCAGCTCTGAACACTGCACAGGAGAAGTCTGTTCCTGCCATCAAGATCTGTCAGCTGTTATGCACTGTTCACGAGTCTTTCCCAGGCCTACAGCCAGTGATGCAGGAGCTTGGGCACGTGGGTAAGAAACCTGCAAATGCCACTCCAATTCGATTACACCAATCTGTGGTAATTGGAGCTGTGTGTGGCTTTAGTGTTGGATCACAGTGTATAATTGCTGTTTGCCCAAACTCTGTATTGTACAGTTAGAATGGAGCATTCAGCAAAAGTGTGTTTGGGAACCTAGCACTTGGATTTACGTATGTCCCCTGGTTCCAGGAAATGTACTGTAAGGTCATTCCGACATTAGTAGGTAGATGGATTGGTTGGTCTAATACATGTTGACCATCTCTAACTTCAGTGATTCACCCAGTATCTTTGTATGTGATTTCTGGGCTAGGTTTTTCTTCAGGAAAAACTCAGGTTGTTTATTTTCATGTGGAGCTATCTCAGCCTTAGCTGTTCATGTGAGGATCCATGTAGATCTCTGTGTTTGTATTGTAAATATATTAACCATCTCATAGGTTCACCTAAAAGATATTAAAATGTGGTTAATCAACTAGTCAACTAATGAATAGGCACTTCCACATTCCTCCTTTGAAATGTACAAGAGCCCCTGCTGGAACTCTTGTACATTTCAAAGGAGGAATGTGGAACTCCGCATACAGCCTGGGGCCAGGGGGGAAGTCCCGCTGACTCCAGGCTGCATGTGGCATGCCTGCTTTGAAATGCACAAGAGTCCCCAGTGGGGGCTCCTGTACATTTCAAAGCCACGGAGCCTGGGGTCATCTGGGGTGTCCCCAGTTGACCCTAGGCTCCACGGCAGCTTGCCCCTTTGAAATGTGCAGCAGTGGAGGTTTAAAGGGGCAGGCCCGCCGCACAGCTGATCCAAGGAGTCCCCAGCTGACCCTGGGTTCCAGGGCAGTACCGCGTGGAACCCGGGGTCAACTGGGAACTGCTGAGCTGATCCTGGGTTCCAGAGAAATGTCGCGGGGAGCCCGGGATCAACTAGGGAGTCCCCAGCTGATCCTGAACTCCATGGCTGCCCCTTTGACTCTCACAGAGGCGGCATTTTAAAGGGGCAGCCCGCCGCACAGCTGATCCGCAGATCAGCTGTGCAGCAGCTGCCTGGGATCAGCTGTGCAATGCTGCCACTTTGAAGTACCCCCTCCCCCCGCCTTTGCTGCCTCTCTGTCTCATAGAGGCAGCCGGGGGGGGGGGGGAGATATCGACTAGTCAACGAGTCAAAAGACTATCTGATAAGCAAATCCTTAACATCCTTAGATAAGAGTATTGTCCAGCACAAGTCTGTGGCAGCAGGGCTTTCCTAGAGCACAAGGACGATGCAGTTTAGTGGTGGTGGTTTGAACATTCAAGATATTTTTCACACTATATTCTTAAATTGGCTCCATTCCATTGAGCCAGACCACCCAGCAGGACACAGCCAGAATGACCATGGTAGCACCAGCATGGCTGAGGCTGTTCTGATTCTCAGACCCAGCCACCCTCCAATAGAGAGAGGATATCTCAACAGATGGGCATATCCTCCATCCAGATCCAGGGTGCCTTAATAGCATGGCTCCTGGCTGGGAAACATCAGTAGAGTCTCTTCAGCTAGATACAAATGCTCTCCCCAGTAGAAAGGACTCTGACACTTACCTCTGCCAAGTATAAAAGATTCACACTCTGGACACAGCAGTGCCAGTTATTGCCATCTCTGCTTCAGATAGCAGGGACCCTGCAGTACTTGCTCTCCCTGAGGAGCTCCCTGAGGGTCCCCCAGCAGCCCCCAAAGACCAAAAACCAGATAAAGATCAAAGGCTTCAGGCCAGGCTTCTTGTCCAATGAAGTACAATAATAGTTGTCAGATTCTACCAAACCACTTGACAATGGACCATCTCTGTCAGTGCCAGGAACGCAACACGGCCCCCTCAGCTGGACAGAGACGGCTCCCTTGAGGTACATTTTTATACACAGGTACAAACAAGTTACACATCACTCCTGATGTACAAGGTTGACACCCTCTTACATACCCTGATCCACCCATTATCTTGTATATTGGGGTTTGATCACTATCTGTCATGCTGTCAATTTAGACCCTGTCCTTAACCTGGGATGGTGTGTATGTTATTTGTGGGGAGTGTGATAGTACCAAGATGTTTCTTTTTGAGGTGTTCTGTTGTGACCCCTCTGGGATGTGCTTACAGCCTGTTGCAAGTACTTATTAGGTATGAGTGTTCCTGCAATATCAGCCCTGTTCTTGCAAACTTCTGTGAGCAGGGCCTGCCTCTTGCTCACAACTTCACTTTGCTTTATATTAGCAAAGTCTTTATCACTGCTGGCTGTAAGGGCCTCAGGCCTCAGACCTGGCCTGTGATACATGGGCTTATATTTCAGGCCCTCATCTTTCTACAGAAAGGCAGTTTATGGAATATATTTGAACAGCACCTCTGAAAGGGCTGCAGTTCCTGGAATATGAATAACCATTTCTTCTTTGCTGAGTGCTTGTCTATCTCCAATTCAGTGCTGGTGTCAGGGAGTTGATCTGGTCTGTGGGATGGGAGAAAGTAGAACTTTAGTGGGATTGGGAACTGAAAGAGGTGAGATGTAGGTCGTGTTCCCTGTAAGCTGAGTGCTTGGGCAGCTCCCCAGGAGAGGCTTAGGTGCTGACCATCTGATTGTTAGAGCACCCACAGCTGGCAGCATGTGTTTCTGTTGGTAATACACATCTGCATATGCATTGGTGCACATAACAAAATTTGTTCTACATATAGATAGAAAAAAGTAGAAGGAACATTGTCTGTGAGCAGCGTTAGAGTTTATTTTACACTCATTACATTTCCAGTATGCCACAGATGGACACCTAAATGTCAGAGTTAACGGTGCATTGCAGTACACGGGTAATTAATCCCTCTCTGCTGGTTTGCAGGCTTTCTGCAAACAGGTGACATCACTACATGGGTGCGCTCAGTTGTGTTTGCAAGGTTCGCTCCATAACCTCAAACATTAGAAACAAATGTCCAAAAATGCACCCCGGAGTTCCTGAGTACACGGCTATGGCAAAAGGTTAATTCTGCACTAGTTTCCATGGCCACAGATTTGCAAGATTTTACCTATAACGAAGAAGCTAAATGACTGTTTTGTGTATTTATTGCCTCCCCCACACCTATTATCCCAGAGGGTTTTCCTGGAGGCTGGAGTCCAGTGTGCTTTTTGGGATTGTGCTGTTGTAGGGGCTTAAAACACTGTGATCATCTCTGGAAAGGAGGTGTCAGTGAGTCATTTTAAATCTACCCAGAAGAGCATGAGGCACCCCAGTCTTAGCCTGTTTCTGAAAGGGCATGCTAACATGCTAGAGAGGAATTCCTGGACCTTACCCTGTTCAATTAAGGGATCTGCACCCATTTTACATGAAAAATTCAATCCTGCCTTATCTCTGGAGCCACCAGGGGGCCATCATAACGAAGGCCTCAAACTGCAAATATTTATGCAAACAATAATTTCACTCCTGGGCCCTCAGGTCTCTGCAGCTCCAGTTTTCTCATTGGTGCTAAAATGGGAGGAGACTTTCTTTTGCACTTCTGCCCACGTGCTCGGTCACTTTATGGAAGCCTCTGTAGACACTGGCATTTTTGACAGAGAAATTCAGGCCTGATTCTCCACTTCCTTGCACCTGATATTGTTCTTGCTCCCTGCACCAAGTGGGTGTGAAGAGCTGCCATTTGGATGTGACACATCCCTTTGCACCTGGGCAGCTCTTAGTAGACACAGGGTGAGCACATGGAGCTGTCAGTACGCACTGAAATGAGCATGTTGTCCACACAGGACTCCTGACAGAAGGACGTGGGGAGAAGGCTGGAATCAGAAAGTGGAAGGTGAACAGTGAATCCCAGATCGAAGCTATGGACAAGGAGGAGGAGAAGCCTGGGAGTGCAAGTGCCAAGGAGCAGAAGGAGCCCCAAGAGAAAGCTCCCTCCAAGAAGAACTTTGTCTGCAAAGCCTGTGATAAGAGCTTCCATTTCTACTGCCGTCTTAAGGTGCACATGAAGCGGTGTCGCGTGGCCAAGGGGAAGCAATTGCAGTGTAAAGAGTGCAATGAGATCAAGACCACCAAGAAAGAGCTGGAAAACCACCAGCTGGAAGCCCACGGAGGGCCTGGAGCTACAGCGACAGCCAAAAAGAAGAAGCGGCTCCCAGTGACATGTGACATCTGTGGAAGAGAATTTGCTCATGCTTCAGGTAGGACTGAACCTGAAGAGACTCCACGAGCAGCAGGGGAGGAGGGGTTTAGATACCAGGCCATGTTAACGGCACATCTGAAATCAGAGCCTCCTCCCTCATGTATGCACTGGGGACGCGGGAGATTGAGAAGCCCTGGGCTGCCCCGTTCAGTTCTTTTCACCCGCACTGCTGATTGCCCTAACGTCTTCTGCTTATCTTAATGCATGCTTGTTTTCTGCCATTGCATGAGCCTCATGAAGGAAAAGTGAGGATGCTGGCAATTTAAAAGGCCTCCAGAAAATACTTGCACCGTGAGATGGCCTGTTCAGTTCTTCAGCTGGTGGTAATGAAAGGGCTAAAGGTTCTCAGTACGTTGAGTTCCTTTTCCTCTTTCCCAGTCCCTTAGCCTTCCTCTATGGGCAGAGGAAGCTCACTGCCACGTCTTTCATTCCTCTCTCAGCAAGTGGCAGCTTGGGAAGCCATTTGGGCCTGCTGTCTGCTAAGAATCAGCAGCCTTGGTGTGAAGTTAAGCAGTTACCTGGTGATGTAGTCAGGGCTGGAATGGGGTATTGCTTTGGCAAGGCCTTTGTGCCAGATGTTAACTGCTGGCTTTGGTGTCTGCCCTTAGGAATGCAGTACCATAAGCTGACGGAGCACTTTGATGAAAAGCCCTTCTCCTGTGAAGAGTGTGGCGCCAAGTTCGCAGCCAACTCCACCCTGAAGAATCATCTGCGGCTGCACACTGGAGACCGCCCCTACACGTGCAAGCACTGCCTCATGACCTTCACACAAGCCTCTGCCTTGGCCTATCACACCAAGAAGAAGCACTCGGAGGGTGAGCCTGCCTCAGCCTTCTACCTCAGGACCTGTCTGCTGCTGTGTGCGCTTGAAGGAGTGTGACCAGGCAATTGAAACACAGGAGCACCCTGTAGCGTGGGAAATTAGCAGTGGGGCATGCTGGCGCCAAAGTAGGATTCAGCCCTGGGGTAGTATTTTGAGTTTTGCTTGCTTGTTTCTTACAAGTATGAGTGAACCAAGGGGTCCTTACAACACTGTGCATGTTGCTTTTGCCTAAGCCAGATGGGTTGTTAGTATAATGGGAACAGGTAGCGCAACTAAAATGTTATTGGCATAGTTACGCTGACCATACGGCCCAATATTTCCAGGACAGTCCCGAAGTTAAATGCTCTGTCCCGGTGCCCCATCAAGTAGTGAAGTGTCCCGGAAAGTCCCACTGGACATTTCACTACCTGATGGGGACACGGCTTGCGGGAAGAAGCGACCAAGGAATAGCTCCATACCATTGCTCCTCAGCACCCTGATTCCTCCCCCACCCCAGCAGAGCACATAGGCAGCTCCATTGGCCCTTTACCGGCAGGCTGCTGGGCCAGCTTCCAATGGCACACGGCCCCTCCTTCCACCTGCAGGGTCCCAGTCTGGTGGCACCGCCTCCTCCTCCTCCAGGCAGCTTGTTAGCACAGCGGCCACCGCTGCTGGGGGTCCAGGCGGGTCCAAGCCAAACCCTGGCGGAGCCACTTACAGACCTCCACACCTTGGAGCGGAGCCCCCGCAGGAGCTACATGGAGCCCAGCTTGGGCACTGTGGGGCACACTCGGGCTTGGCAGGTGTTGGGACTGGAGCAGAGGCCACCCACGGTGCTACTTTTAGTACCACATTCCAGCCCCAGCTGCTCCCAGGGTGGGACCACGTGCCCGGAGAGGAGCAGAGGCTGCCCATGGTGCTATTTTTAGTACCAAGGTCCCAGTCCTTGCGGGCAGCCCCAGCTCCAGCGGGAGTCAAGCGGCAGCTGCACGAGGCACATTCCAGCCAGAGCAGCCTCACTGGAATGGGCCTCGAAAAATCCATTGGGGACCACACAAGTGAGAAGCAAAAAAACTCCTCCCAAAACCCCCAACCCTCACTGATATGGCCCCCAACTGAGACACCTCATTCTCCTGCACTCCAGCCCCATGAGGTGAGGGAAAGGGGTGGGAGGACTAAGGTTCAGGGCTTCCCTAGGCCACGTTTACTTTTCTGGGGTTCCAGAGTTAGTGGATTTTGTGGACCCCCTTAGGCTCTGGGGTGGAAACAAAAATGAGGGGCTCAATGTGCGGGACAGGGCTGCCAGCGAGTAGGATAAGGATGCAGGATCTGGGTGGGAGGTGGGGTGCCGGGTCTGCGCACTTGACTGTTGCTGCCTTGCTGACGGGTTGTCCTTTCCAACTCCAGTTTACTGGCTCCTCTGCCTTTGTCCTGTCTCCCTGCCTACCCGCCTTACCCACTGAGAATGGGATTCTATTACCCACAGTAGAGGTTGGTGCAGATCGTTCCCTAGGTCCAGCTGCTTCTGGCATCACCGTGTCACTGCCCAACTACCATCTTACTCTGTCTCTCAAACAGACCGTCCTGTGTTCCCTCTCTCTGCCTATGGATGGAGCCCGCTCTCCTCCTGTCTTCTGGGCCCGCAGCTCCGTGTCTGTTCACTCCTCCTTGGCCCTGATTTTAGTCCTTTGCTGAATCACTGCTTCTCCCTCTCCGGTAAACCTGCCCTTCCCTCTCCCGCCCCCCTGCTGAAACCCTCGTCCCCACCTGAATCATCTCTTGCCTTGATTGCTGATGCTTTTCCTGCTTCTCCGATCTGTTGCAAGCACAGCTCTGACCTCAGTGCCCACTCCTCTGACCTCAGTGCCCACTCCTGGGAGCCCTTAGTTGGCAGCCTGGGAGCCCTTAGTTGGCAGCCTGGCTTCTGCCTCCCGTACAAATTCCAAGGACTTGCTGGGAAGGCAGCACGTATTGGTGTCCCCACTAGTCCCTGCGTCTTCCCTCATTCTTGTCCCAGGCCTCTGCTGCTGTGTCTCTTCCTCCTGTTCTCAGCTTTATACCTTCTATGCCAGGGGTGGGGACCTCTTTTGGCCCACAGAAAATCAGTCAGGGGCAACATACGAGTGAGAAAAAACAACCAACCAACCAATCCCTCATGGCCATAGCTCCCAGCCGATGAGCAGAAAAGAAGAGAGACACTCACCTCACTCGTACAACTCATGGCGACGAGTCAGGGCTTCCACTGCTAGTTTGGCTCTTCATCTCTAATGGGTTGGCCACCCTGGTGTAGTTGATACAGTTTGTATCGACTACACGATTAGTTGATAAGGGAAAGTGCTCTGTGCCAGCTCGCACCAGTCCAAGACCTACCCCCACTGTGGCTCTGCAGTTTAAATGTAGTAGGAGCCAGGCTGCCTTTGCACCCAGCTCCTGCTACATTTCAACTACGGCTCTTACTACTACATTTAAAATGCAGAGCTGCAGCAGTCCTGGCCTAAGGATGTTAAGAAGTGGGTAATTGACTAATTGTGTACTGGATACAATTTGTATCGAGTACACAATTAGATAAGGGGCCCCACTGATAGAGGCAGCCACGGGGAGGGGGCAGGTGGTACTGTGGAGATGATGCTGGGGAGATCCAGCTGATGCAGAGGCAGCAAGTGGGGAAGCGAGTAGTTGAGTATTCGACTCGACTACTCACGTGTCTAGGTGGCGGAACAAGGAGCAATGGTTTCAAGTTGCAGTGGGGGAGATCTTGGTTGGGTATTAGGAAAAACAATTTCCCTAGGAAGGTGGTTAAACACTAAGGGTGTGTCTAGACTACATGCCTCCTTCGACGGAGGCATGTAGATTA